TGTGATATAAAACCATTTACTACTCACAAATGGTTAAGCATTCAGCTGCTCACCGGAAGATTGGCAGTTCGAACCCACCCAAGAGGCTCTGTAGGAGAAAGACCTGGCAATCTGCTTCCATAAAGATTACAGTTAAGAAAACCTTATGGGGCAGTTCTACTTTGTCGCATGAGGTCACTATGAGTTGAAAACAACTCAATGGCACCTAACAAAAACTACTACTAATTATTATTATTGCTATAGCTAATATTTATTGAACATTTATTATGTGCTAAGCACTTTTCTCAGCACTTGACATTATTAACTCATTTAATCCCAAAACAACACTATAGGTACGTTCTATAATTATCTCCATTTCATAGATGAAGAGAGCAAGGAAAAGAGAGTCTAATAACTCATACAAGTTCACATAGCTAATATATGGCAGAGCTGGAATTCCAACCTAAGCTTCTATCTTCACAGACTAAGATATAAGTTCTTTTGCATGTCTTATAAGAGGCTGTATGGTTTTCCGCCTAGCTAACCACCAACCACTTTTCTCACATTTCTTGCCTTGTTTGCTATGCTCTAGAATCACTGAATCACTCACTGTAGCTCTTCAGCCCCACCATGCTCTCTCTCACCCGTGTTCTTGCGTTGCCTTCCTTGGCCTCTGCTGTCCTTGCTTGCTCCTCCAGCCACACTGGTCTCCTTGTCACTTCTTCAACACACCACACCTGCCCACCATAGGGCTTGTGCCCTACTGCTCCTTTATTCCAGTATCCCATGGCTACCTCCCTCACCTCCTCAAGTCCCACTCCTCAAGAAGGCTACCCTGACCATCTTATTAAATATCCCAACCTGTCTTGCCCCTAGTTCTTACCCCTACCTACCTACCTACCTAACTAGGACAGAAGTCCTCATCCTACTCTACCTTTTCTTTTTCCCAGGTGCTAATTACACTGTGGTTGTTGTTGGTGATGGTGGTTGTGGTTGTGGTGGCTGCCATCAAGTCTGTCCCCAGCTTATGGCAACCCCACACCCAATGGAATGAAACACTGCCAGGTCCTGCACCATCCTCATGATCAGTTGCTGATTGGGCAGCTATTGGGATCCATAGGGTTTTCATCGGCTGATTTTCAGAAGTAGATCACTAGGCTTACTTCCTGCTTTGTCTTAGCCTAGAAGCTCCATTGAAACCTTTTCAGCATCATAGCAACACGCAAGCCTCCAAAGATAGACAGGTGGTGGCTACACATGAAGTGCATTGACCGGGAATCAAATGTGGGTCTCCTACCACTGAATACATTTCGTTTATGTATTTATCATAGCTATTGTTACTTGCCTGCCTCCCCCACTGGACTATAAGCTTCTTCAGGGTAAGGACCTTTGTCTTTTTTGTTTACTGGTATATTCTCAATACCACAACTGTGCCTGCCAGGAAGTAGGTACATAAAAATAGTTGTTAAATAAACAAATACGTCTTTGCCCTTCTCTCCTTCTCCTAATTAACTTTTCCTTTGCTTGGAAAAGCTAGCTCAGGCTCCCCCACCCTTGAAAGCCTCTTCTTAAGATATCTCCTCTACACTAGGTATAGAATTGCTCCGGGTTCACACCATTCTCTGTACATAGTTCTGTCAAAGGACTTGACACCTTACCTGCGAGTTTGCATTTATGTCAACATCTCGAGAATGGATACTCCCTCTCAGCATCTAGTTCCTTAGCACCGTACATGATACGTGTTGCATACACAGGAAATGTTTCGTAATTCATGAATGAATAAAATAATGTGGTTTGGAAATGTGTTCGCCTCTATATCTGACAAGAGTAACAAGGGTTAAGTGCTGGCCGCTAACTGAAAGGTAGGCGGTTTGAACCCACCCAGAAATTCCTCGGGAGAAAGACCTGGGCAATCTGCTCCTGTAAAGATTACAGCCTAGAAAATCCTGTGGGCACTTCTACTCTGTCACATGGGGTTGTTATGAGTTGAAATCAACTCAATGGCACCTAACAACAACTATACCTGACTATTCCTGCTCATGCTGTGGGATTCAATCATGATTATGTTCTCTGGGAGGCCCATTCTCATGGGGGCAGACACAGCTGAGGACTGGCTTATATGTCTTCCCGTAGCTTCTTCTTCATAACTATCAAAACACTTGTCTTACTGTATTGAAATTCTCCATTTCTCATTCTCTCTCCCCTGCTAGTCATTAAGAAGGGAAAGGAAGCTTATCTTAATTATCATTACAATCATCCCTTGGTATCCAAGGGGGATAGGTTCAGGGACCCCCGTGGATACCAAAATCTGCAGATGCTCAAGTCTCTTATGTAAAATGGCATAGTATTTGCATATAACCTATGAACATCCTCCTGTATACTTTAAATCATCTCTAGATTACTTATAATTCCTAATACAATGTAAATACTATGTAAGTATTTATTTCATCACAATTGAAGACTTGCTCTAGAAGGTAGCCTTTCTCTTCTATGAGTTTCTGGAGCTCTTCTGGGAACGCTGATGCTGCCTCCGCATCAGCCAATGTGGATTCTCCAGTGATCTTGAAGTTCTTGAGCCTGGAGCACTTTACATAGCCAGCCAGCCAGCCAGCGCTTACTGGCCTGAAACTCCTTCCTCTTGCTCTCCTAAACACCCTCACACTTAGCCTTTAAGGGATGGCTTTGATCACTTCATTGCTTTAGAGGAGCCTTTTTTTTTTCCCACAAAAACAAAGGGTGCACACAACACGAGTAGTGTGAGGCGAACAATGTTCAAACAATGAATGCTGAAGACAGACTGTGAAATGGGGGGACGCTACAGCAGGGGATGCCTACACATCATTTTATTTGCGTGGATTCAGCATAGCGCTTGGCACCTGGCAAAATGAAGTTTTGCTTTTTGGAACTACCCCACCCGCCACCCCCAATGTTTTCTATCTGTGGTTGGTTGAATCCCTGGATGTGGAACCCATGGATACAGAGGGCCACCTGTATATCTTCAGAGCTCAGCATAGAGAATGGCACAGATGAGACTGTCCACATTTGCTAATGAAACTGAATCACAGGTCATCCCATTTAGCTGTCTAGTAAGAAGTCAGAAATACAAGTACAGAACTTGAATGCGGCTCTCTCATTTAATCTATGACCCGTGTAACTGTGAAACCAGCAAATTATTTATGATGGTTCAAAGGTTATACCAAAATGACCTCTGAAATTATTAAAAAGTGTGTGCCTCCAGAAGGTAAATATGGTATTTAAGTGCAAGGTAAATAACAACTATATAAACAAGACGTGCTGCAAATTTTTCCATGACTTTGTCATCAATTTTAATGTGCAAACCTGAAAACATTATCAGTATAATCCACGTTTAAAAACAAAAATTCTGTAAGTTTTAAAATTTGTTTATCAGGAAATTTTAAATGAAAGGGTGTAGAGATTAGCTGAAGATTCCTTCATTCCCCTAGAGATGGGTCATTTAGCTGTCTCTTGCCTATGCTCAGTCACAGCCTACACGATTATGTCTGAGATGGCAAATGTTCATGCTCACGTTTTCTAGAAAAGAACCATTTTGGACTTGGCCTCAGAAGATCTTTTTTGCTTGATGTCCTGGCACTACTGCTTATTAGCCTTTTGACCATATTGCCTCTCTGATCCTCAGCTCTGTAAAATGACTAAAACTACAGGTTTAGGCTTCTCAGAGTCTAGGATTCTATGAATAATCTCTACAAGGTAGAGGTGCCCCTTTAAAAATGTGATTCTGGAACCAAGGGATATAAAATAACACACATTTTCTTGAAAGTGTGTTTGTACTTCTCCTGTTTTTTATTTTCAAGATCATTGTGTGGTTTGAGGATGACCGTAACGACTGATCTCCCTCTAAATCCTGATTCTGTAATGAAGGGAGTGCAAAATAGCACGTTTCCTTTAAAGTGTGTTGGAGCCATTTTTTTTTTTTTTTTTGCTTTTTATTTTTCACATTTTTATTTTCAAGATCTCTGTGTGACTTGAGCATGACCATAACAACTTGTCTGACTATTGGTAGCAATCCATTTGCTAACACCTATACACTCTTTGTACTACAGCCTATTTCATGAGTGCTGTTTTAGGCCACTAGAGTCCTTTTCAGATTGCTCATGAGTGAGCTAACTGTTCAGTTGCAGGGTACTTGGGGTCATGTCCTGAAGCCTTCTGTGTAGAATAACTACATTGACATTTGATTAAAGAGATTTGACTCGCTAGATCAAGAAATATCCTGGGGAGATTCTGGAAATCCTTCGTGTGTATTATCTGTGCTAGGAAAGCCTGTGAAAGAACTCCGATCCCCAGGTCTCTCATTTTCCTCCCAGTAGAAGGTTACACAACTTTCCTTGCCATTCCCTGGCCCTCGGAGACACGTCATGCTGACACCTTGCGTCTGCATCCCTGGGCATGCTGTAGCTGAGATTGCCACAGTAACAGCACACGTGACGTAACATTCTCCCGTAATGACAGCGGCCTGGACGTGAGTCAGTTGAAAAGTTTCACTGGGTTTTTATTAGTGTATGATGCAGTCCCATGTCATCTACATTTCCTAGTCTGTTCAAGACTTGCACACTTGATGCTAATCACCTTCAAATGTTAGCTGGTCCAGGTCATCTCCCTGAAGCCACTGCAGTTGCTGCCTCTTCCATAGCAGTCCTTACTAATACCTACAAGAGGGGCCAAAAGCAACATTCAGGCCACACACCTTGACCTTGGTTTCTACTCTTGTATATCCTGAGCTTAATAAGCAACAGTGACCTTGACTGATTGTCGAGAAGACCTCTTTTTACCCAGGAAACTGGACAATGGTTAAGCATCTGCCTCCCAGAAGACATATTTTCCACCCAGTGGTTGGGAAGAACACGTGCTGAAGAATGAGGATGGAGTTACTGTAATGCTCTATGGGAATGTATGAAAGTGGAACTTACCATTTAATACTGCTCAAAGGCTGTCACAGAGTTATTGTTAACTTCTAATACAGGATTTGGTTTATTTTTCAGACACGGAGATGACTTGATTGTGACTCCATTTGCTCAGGTAAGCACAGCTTGGTGAACTAGCAGGTTTCCTACAGAGGTGAAAATTCAATCTGAGAAGTTAGTTTCTGGTTCTCAATTTGATTTTAAATCAAATACAAGTAAAAATACAAATTCTGCGGTTCACTCAAGTAATGCATAGGCAGTGCTAGAGTATGTGACCTTAGCCATATTGATCTGTTTCTATAAACCCATAATCCAAAGAGTATCTGTTCTTCAAACAACAAATCGCATAAGTGATAGACTTAAATGGGACTATATTTCCCTAACTGCCATAAGCACTAGAAGCAGAAGACTACATGTAGTTAAATTACACGTAGTATACTTGTTCGGTGCTTGAAATTCAATAATCCGGTTTGGCCGGATGCTTTCTTTACATTCTTTTACATATGTCTGTGTGCAAAGATTTAACTGTGGGATATGTTATGTTTATTTGTTCATTGTAGGTATATAAATGAAGAAAATATTTTAACCACATGGCAGAAATCTAAGAAGGTGATAAGATGATTTAAAGCATTTTGGAATATATATAAAAGCGTTGGTGACCAGGTGGTCTTCGTATAGGCCAGCACTTCTCAACCCTGGCTATGCATCAGAATCCCTGTAAGAGCTCTTATCCCAGTGTCCAGGCTGCATCCTAGACCAATTAAATCTAAAAATCTAGAAGTGGAATCGGGGCATCGGTATTTTACAACAGCCTCCCTGTGACTTCAGTGTGCAGCTAAGGTTGAGAGCCTCCAGTATAGACACAGTAGGGACAGATGAGATAAAAGTTATTTAACCTGGGGCTTGAAGTAGGTTTAAAGCCAAACCTGACCAATGATAAATGTTAAATATTGGAGTGTGGGTGATCTTGAAAGGTTATAAAGGTTATAATTAGCACTATGTGTATAACTAGCTGAAGGCCGTGGGCAACTCATTTAACTTGTCTAGGCCTTTTTCTCCCAGTAGGTAAAATGAAGGGACTGGGCTGGATGAAAAACAGTTAAGAAGCAGTCTGCACAGGTTCAAATCCCTTCACCTCCTCTCACTAACTGCGTGGTCTTGGGCGAATTACCAAATCTTTCTAAGCCTCCGTTTCCTCCTCTGTTAAATGACAAAATAGCAAGGGCTCACCTTATAAGGTTGTTAAGAGATTGAAATAACATAGGGCATGTAAAATGCTTAGCACAATTTTTAGAAAATAAAGTACTTAATAAAGTTTTAGTGTTATTATCAGAAAATCTTCAAGGGTTCTTCCGACACTAAAATGTCATAACAGGTATTGTTTAAAAAAGTGAATAATAGCAGTGTTCGCATGGTAAGATTATGTATAATTCTTTTACTTTTTCAAATTTCCTGATATTTTATATCGTGGCTGTAATTTAAACCAAAAAATTAATAAATCCATAAATAGCGTAATATATAATAGTGATTTTTTCATTACTGCCGGCATTTGAAAATAAGAGTAGCATCCCTTTAAGATGGTTTATGTCCTGTCTGCTTAAGGGCTGCTGAAGAACATGGGTTCTTTCTAGTACATATATTTCTATGTTTAAAAGAAGTATACTCATATGCTTTTATCGTATTTTGTAAGAGCATAATCTTATAAAGCTAAGGAGTTTACTGTTCAGAACTCAGAATTTTATATATAAGAGTGTGAACAGATAAGATCAGACAAAATAATATAAATAATAATGATCACCAAACATAGACGTGATCCTCCTAATTTAAGCTTATTCAGGTAGCTACTCTTGCTTCTAATTAAAATCTGTAGATACTGTTGTAAGAAAAAATATATCTAAATAAATAGTAAAAATGTAAACTATATTCTGTGTATGATACATTATCTGCTTACTTCAAGTAGTATTTATTAATCTTCCACAAATAGCTTAATAAATTCAACATGGTTTCTGCCATCAGTGCTCTTAAATTCCAAAGAAAGCTAGTCTTTTATATAATTAGACATTTTCTGTAGTACAGTCTCCAAAAAACTAATAGAATTTCAGTATTCTGAGAAAAAATATGTAAAATATCATTCGTCTTTGTTAGTTAGCTGTTTAAATAATTAAGATGTGTACTTAATACCCTTGAAATGGGAACTTTGAATATAAACCAACTCTGTGTAATATATAGGCACATAAGATACCTGAAAATAATACCATAGTATATTTAGAGGATTTTGCATATAATTAGCTAAATGACTCCTAACACGTTGTAGAGAGGGTGGTCATTGTCCCAGAGCCTACAGATTTTTTTAAGTGGCTTCTTCACAGTTTTCACAAATGACCTTTTGCTAGAACGTACTACCTGGAAAGCTCTACTAGAATTTAAAAAAAAAAAAAAAAAAGTCTTAAATTCTGAACAACTTCATCAGTAATAGAACTTCTTTTGGGAAACAGGTTAAGAAAAAAGGCCCAGCTAGAGTCAGTCTGTCTGTGGTTTTCTATTAAGCACTGTTGGGCACAACAAACATTTTGTTGACCTAACCCCTGATGTCTCAAAATTTTCAATATAGATAGAGCACTCGTCACTGAATACTAAATATGATGATGCTAAAAATATTTTCTGTCACTTGAAGACAATTAATGCCCCCAACATTATCCAGCCTGACAAAACCATAATTGCTTTCGTGATAGAAACATGACTACTGATTTTACATAAGTCACTCAGGAAAATGTTCTGCCAAATAATTCTCCCCTTTTCCTAGCATACTTTGGGTTTTGGAATTCCACACTAAATTCTTCTGGTGAAAAAAAAAAAATACACTGCTCTCAAAATAATTCTTTTTCGTAAAAAGTTTGGAAAATAAATATAAGCAGATTTATTTTAAGTTCAAACCTCAAAGTAACTACTATTGACATTTTATTTTATATTCCTTTAGAGTTTTTTTTTTTCTGTATTTTCTTTCTCATGATTCTTAAAAATGGCCTTCCACAGTTTAAGTGTTTATAGAGCTTCTTCCAAACCCATCTCATCTTCCGTCTCTTCTTGAGAATCCATTTCTTTATGCCTAAGTGCATCTCCAAAATATGAAAGGATACCTCCCTATTCTTTCCCAACCATGATTTCCCCATGAAACTAAGAGAATAAAATCCTAAATTGTAAGAGAATTTAGGAAGTCATACAAGGATACAGTCCACTTTGCTCGTCAGGGCTTTGACCTAAAACGTCTTAGAGAAACGTAGTCTTCAGTAAAGATTCTACCATTATCTCTCCGTCTTCTATTCCAGTGTCTAAAGCACTGTCAGGGTGAGGAATTCCTGTTGGTGTTTAACCTAAACTCTTTTACACCTCTCATTTCTTATGCTTCCCCTAGAAGCTCAGAATCCCCTCTGTCCCCCGAAAAAATAACAGCTTTAAATATTTAGTTTATTTCAATTTTGAAATATTTTTTTAATGTTTGTGTTGAAATCTTGCAGCGTGGGTATTTCCTTAGGCGTGAAGGCTGGGTGTTGAGAGGAATCCCACTGTCATGCCACACCATGCCACTTGGCAGCTGGCATTTTCTTCCATTGAGTGAGTAGCAATCTGGCCCAAGTTCATAGGGCCTGGGAGTGCACTAGGGAGACATCAATCAACAAACCAACCCCTTGCCATGGAGTAGATTTCGACTGGTAACAACCCTATAGGACAGAGTAGAACTGCCCCATAGGGTTTCTGTCATGGTTTGAATTATGTCCCCCCAAAAATGTGTATCAATTTGGCTAGGCCATGATTCCTGGTACTGTGTGATTTTCCTGTATGTTGTAAACCTGCCTTTATGATGTTAATGAGGGAGGGTGGGTGGCAGTTGTGTTAGTAACGCAGGACCTGATCTACAAGACTGGATTGTGTCCT